CTCCCTAAACGGGGTTATATAAGCGATTACCTAGGCGACTACTATAGGGGTTATAAAGGGGGATACTCGGAGTTTAGGCTATAGCTCATATAATCCCTATACCATATACAGCCTACTATAATGTAGTAGTTTCCATTTTCTTTTCCATTATCCCTAAGATGTACTATAATATACGATAATATTTGAGCTAGCCGGATGAGTGATCCAGGACATGTTCTCCGTTGTCATTTGGGCCCTGCTTTGGGCGACGATCTTTGCTCCGCCAAGACCTGATTTGCTCAAGACTTCCTGGGAGATCTTGGAGTTTCTGGAAACCTTAAACCCTAAACCCAATAAAATCCAACAAGGATCTCTGACAGTTCCTCTGCAAACGGTATCTATTGCTGTGGCCGTTTTTTTTTTGTTTTTTTTTTCTGCTGCTACTGCGCATGCTCAAGTGTTCTTGAACTGGGTTGCTGTTAATGAATTTAATGTAAGTAACCCATAATATGGGTAATAGTAAATAACAAGCTTTCCTTGTTATAGTAACTTAATGCATGTTCCTAGAACCTAAACCCTAAACTCTAAAAGGAGCGTTAACAAAAACTTAAACTCTAAACAAAAAAACACGACCAAAACCACGGTGAAGTGAAATTTTCAGGTTCATCTTCCGCTATGTTTTGAACCGCTACGTGCGAGCTCAAGGTGCACCCTCATTGGCCTTTGCCGCTGCGTGGTATGGCCTGTTCTTAGTAGTCCATAAGGGAAAATACAGGGATTAGGGTTTAGGTTTAGAGGGAACACATATATACATACAAATATACACATATCAGGAGTTATCTGGGGATTATACTCCCTCATTCCCTACTAGGAACCAGTAAGGTGGTATTGCGGTGTGGACGAGTGAAATACTGCTGGACAAGTACATAGGGATATTTCTGTTCCCAGCATAGAGTAAGATTCTTTTCAGAAGTTGAATACTATCTTATTTGGTTCGACCACCACAACATGAACCTAAACCCTAAACCCATAAACCCTAAACCCATAAACCCTAAACCCATAAACCCTAAACCCCTAAACGTTCCTTTGTTTTGTCAGGGCTGGCAGACAGAGAGCCAAATCCTGGATACGGCGAGGATGAGGCCGGCTTTCTTTGGGCAGCTCAGAAGGGAAAGTCTGTGGTAGAGGATTTTGGGCTCCACGGCCCCTAAACCCTAGACCCCTAAACCCCAAACCCTAAGAAATAAATCCTCTAACTCTATATAACACCATTATAGTAGTTTCCATGTTATTTTCCATTATCCCTATGTAGCCATGGGCAGGATGGGTACTCCATTTCAGAACCACCCTCAGAGAAGGGAGACTTGGTACGAAGCTCGGATCCAGCCTCTGTGAGCCTTCTTTTGGTGTGCAAGCTGTGTCCACCAGGCCTCCGACCAAGACTATAAGATGAAAGTTGAAGAGTTGAACAAGGCATGGCTTGAAGTATAATTTTGCTTGCGGAGAAAAGCTTTTTCAGACAATCTCAGTTCACGGCAGGTTGCCCCCGCAGAGGCTCTCGCGGGATTCTGTCTTGAAGGATTTGCTACTTCAAGTGTTTGGGACATCAACTTCAATATGGCCATTGAGTGGGCTTTGTGCTGCGTTTGGATCACTTGCAACCATTGATGGATCCTGATCCGCATTGACTCGCATGTGTTGTGGTCTGAAATTGCAGGCCGCCGCGTCCCTGGCTCAGACAGACGCCTGCAGCCAGAGCGCGTCAATTCATGAATTCTTAAGTTCAGATATGTTGGCCTTTTTTTTGTGTATTCAAGCTCATGCCTGGGTTTTGTCAAGTTTGCGTGCCCTTTCTACAATCTTTTGCGTGTGACCTTGTCGTGTGGAGTTGGCCAGGGAGACCTTCATTGCGCCCGCAGTTGTTTGAAGAGCATTGCGTCAGTATCACCGACGTTCATACTAGAAGATTCCTAAGGTTGCGGAGAGAGCCTCCTTGAGATGCCATGTCTGACAGCACTGACTTTCTCCATGCTACAGCCTGAACCGTAAGCTCCGGGGTCCTACTCCCTGTCCAAGCAGTATTTAGCAGACGTTTGTTTGCCTGTCTGTTTTCATGCATGGTTGCGCAGCGACGCCACCATTCTTGCCGCTGCTAGATGTTGGCGATGGTTATGATTAGTGGCGAGTGCAAGCAATACTTTCAGTTTGACTGAGTAACCTCAACTTAGCAGTGAAGGTTCTTAAGGTGTTCAGTAGGTATGCATGATCCCACGATATGTAGTAGTTTCCATTTTCCATTGCCTTCATATAACCCCACATACTCCTATATTTCCCTACATAGCATTGTAACCCTACAGGAACATGTGAGCTAGTGTCAATATTAGGCGTACCAAGAGACCAGTAAGTATGGACATAGGGGTCCGTGTTGCAGATTTGGTATAGTCCCCAATACAGTCCAAATGAGAAACCCATGTCCATCAATCTTCTTGGTAATACCGACTGTAGCAGTTTCCATTTTCTTTTCCATTACCCCCAATATAAGTTGACATACTCCTATATAATCGCATATTGTAGCATGGTAACCCTAAACCATAAAACCTAAACCCAGCATCCTCGTCACTCTGCAGAGACTGAGGCCTTCTGGGGCACGGAGCTCTGAAGCTCGCTGCTGCGGTGCCTTCAGCAAGAGCGCGAGCTCCGGCGGGTTTGGAACGCTGGGATTCGGCGGTCAGGGCTGGGGTGGACATGATATAATGCGGTTTCCAGAATTCAGGAGTCCCCTTTCGAGGCTCCCCACAATGAGCTTATGCTGTTTTGGGGTCTATATCGGGGTCCCCCTGCTACTGGACACTACCACATGAAGAGTTGTGATGTGGATATGCTAGACCCTACACCCTAAAACCCTAAACATTTATTTTTTGGGGGTCAGTGATCTGTGCAGAGTTAGGCAAGGCCAGCGCTTCATGGCTTGTGGTACCTTAAAGGGATTTGTGGGGATATATAGGGCTATATAGAGGGATATATGTTTCCAATCCTGGGGATCCTACCCCCCCCTTCCCCCCATGGTATGGTCCGCCCTCCCCAGCCCAAACCTCTCAAAAGTGCTAACAGTCACAGGGATGGGCCCCTGGAGGTCGCGATCCTCGTAACTGTCGTCGTTTTTGACGCCTCAAAGCTGCCATCCTTGTAACTGTTGTTACTTTTGGCTCCTCGTGCTTTCGTCGCGTCTCAAGAGCCCCAAGAGTTACAGGGATGGGGCCCCCGGTGTCACGATCCTTGTAACTTTCATCACTTTTGAACCTCCGTGTGGTCTTGGCGTCTGAAAAGTGCCAACAGTCACATAAAAAGGCCTCCGGGGTCGCACTGTTAGACCTTCGTGCTGCTAATACCTGGGGCTATAGCTCTACTTAGGCCCTATCATAAGCACTACATCCCAGGAACCTCCAAATAAGCTTGTGTCCAAAATCATTGCAAGAATTGGGAAACAGCATTAGAAATGATATGAAGCAGGATCATTTACGAATACCCACACCCTCTTGATATATCACCAGAATCACATGGGCAGGACCACCAGAACCACAGGACCACAAGGGGGGGGAGAATCACCAACACAGCATAGGTACCACAGCAGGGGGGAGGAACCGGCAGCACAACAGGACCACAACAACCACAGGGGGAAGGGGGACCATACCATAGGTGGGGGGGTAGCAACCCTGGATCATATATAGGGTTATATAGGGTTCTATATGGATATGTAGGGTTATGTAGGGATATGTGGGGTTATGTAGGGCTATATAGAGTTGTATAGGGTTATACCTGGACATGTAGGGTGATACAGGGTTATTTAGGGCTATATAGGTTCAAGGGTCAGTCCTGGTCCTAGTCATAAGGAGGAGGGTCTTAGTGTCTTCGTTAGCATGATGGGGGTCATGGGCATATGAAATCTCCGGATTGTCATTGGGCGGTCATGTGGAGCCACAGTAAGCACTCACAGCTAGACCCGAAGCATTGTGATGGACCCCAAACCCTGAACCTTAAACAAAAACCTTAAACCCAAGCCCTAAACATCAAACCTGAAGCCCTAAACACTAAACCTTAAACCCTAAACCTAAACCCTAAACCCGAAATCCTTGACCCGGCGATCTGGATGGCAGGTGGTCTGATCCAGACCTCCTCAACTTGATGGTGCAAGCCGCACGCGGTCTCACCCAGGCAGCAAACCCTGATAGGGGTGCAGCCAGCCGAAGATTAGATGGCTGGTGATGTGCTCTAAGGGCTGGAGGCTGTCAATCCGAATTGCAATCCATACCATTTTGTTCCTTTTCCTCTCACTTGACTGAAAGGAAGTGGAATGCCCTCTTTCTCGCAGTGAGGTTTCTCCGCCATTTGTGCGCATGCCAGAAGTGCAGAAGTGTTGGATATGTTGGGAGTCCTTTAAAAGTTTGAAGTCCATGTGCGCAGGCATTCTAGGCAACGCCTCGATGCTTGGTTGGCGCCCCTATGAATTGAAGTCAGATTTGTTTGTTTTGTCGAAGCTGTGAGGTTCTTTTTGCGGTTAGTGCCCAGCCAGACACACTCTAGATGCGGACAAAGACTCCCTGCCGTCTGCTGTATGCCCTGATGCACAGGTATCCTCCCCCTTCTGCTTTTTTTTCCATGTTATCATAGGAATCCTAGTGCATGCAGAGCAGACAGATCTAGCAGATCTTTGCTCTTGCATGGGGAGTGCTGTGTGCCTTGCAAGCAGCATTTTTACAGCCGGAAAAGCCGGCCATCCCGACCTTGTCCTAGAGTTTGCTGGACACTCACCGCTGTCTGTGGTGTGCCGGCTTCTCACGCCATCCCAAAGGGATGGCTGAAACCTGCCCACCTGGGCCAGATTGAGCTTCACGTTACGTCAGCTCAAATTGGGTTTCTGCGTCGGAGCCCACAGTTTGGAGGTGCATGGAGGTGATTTCCGGTAGAAGCACGTGTACCATAATATGCGCTGGGAACAACATGACACGACTATTCCTGTGGAGGAGTTGGCCAAAGTTCTCGAAGTACACAGATGACCGGATGTGCAGGCCGTGAAAGCTGCGACAGGGATGGCGTTGCAAACCTAGTGCGAGGCAGCTGCTGAACATTGCCCATGCGCTGAAGCGAGCGGCATGTGAGACTGAAAATGAGGCCAGCGCGAACGGCACTCTTTCCATGTAGCGTCAGATGTCATCTTGCGCCCAGGCGGTGGACTGGGTCATTCATTTAGACCACGATGAGCTTTTCCTCCCGCCGCCGCAGGGTTTGCAGGCCATTTTGATCGCATGTAGCTGCATGTACTTGCTCTTTTACGTTTGTGATAATGCCTAGCGTCTACCTGCTT